AACAAACAGAAATGTAAAGCTAGATTGCATACAATTAATAACACAATTTGTCATCTAGTTGGCGACCACAATCATGCTCCAAATCCGAGTATAAGTGAAATTCGTCAATGTCGTTCTGAAATTCGTGACTTGTCTAAAATAACAATGGCCACACATTCAATTGTTGCCACATCAAATGCTACAGCATCTACTACAGTGTTAAGCCAGCTTCCACCTATCAATGACTTGAAACGTACCATCTGTCGACGACGTGTTGCTAATCTAAATTTTCCAGCAAATCCTCGATCAATATCAGAAATACATATAAACGGCTCATTTGCTCTTACAAAGAAAAAAGAACAATTTCTACAATACGACTCAGGAAATCAAGATTTGAACCGGTTTTTACTATTTGCGATGAGTCAACAAGTTGATCTTCTTCACATTTTGACAAAAATATTTATTTCCACATAGCACACATTCATTGTGCACACAAATATCTAACACACAATTGTCTTACACACAACAGTCGTGCTTCCTTTTTCATAACGTCTGTCGAACAATTTTTCAAGTCACACTCGTAATGCTTAGGAGGATAACCAAGTTTTTGTTAACACCATACAGGAGCATATGTGTAACTCAATAGATTGATCGAGGGCCATCGCGATGTAAACCATTGAAATGTTATCAGATCTTGCCGTTGAATTGATTTCAACACAAAAAGTGAAACATTTTGAGAGCAGAAAACGGCCTTATCCGCTTTTGTTTTTAGACAAAATTTGTTATATCAAAGTGATACTAAGTGCCTAATTCTTTGCTTCGAAGATGAAACAAATAGTAAATTTCTTTTGCCGTCGTTTGGTTGTATGCCTCATTGTCAAAGTCTAAATCGCCGAAACAGACATAACTGACAAGGAAGATCGTCAAATATCTTTCAGTCATCTCTATTCTTGTACTTCATTTTGCTAATGCACAATTTGAAGATGATGGATTCTGTTCTCACTTTCAGAAAGCCTATCACATGCGTTTCTTGGCCTGTACAGCAACTAATATTCAACTGTAATGTTCACATCAGAAATTGCGATCTTATCTTTTCATAAAAGCTCTAGTATACAACAACTTATTTAATCACGAGCTCGGTTCCTAAGCCAAGTTTGTCACTAACTTAACTTAGTTACTGACTAGATTCAGTCACTAAGTTGACTTAGTGACCGTTTCAATCTACAGTCACTAATTTTATTTGATATCCATTTCAAGTTAGCCACTGATTTAATCCATGACTATAATTAGTAGATACGATAAACATGAATAACAACAGCATCAAAAGGTTTTGACACTGCTGATTTCGTCTGAGACTATCATGAGCAGATTCAGGAGTTGTAATAGAAGTCGCCAAAATAAAACATCGCAGATAATGATATTGTCGACAGTGATGTCATTAAAATGACACTTCGTCGAAACCAAGTTCGCCAAATTTCTGCGATTTTTATTTCTACGATCTGCTTTCGGCGAAGAGAATATTTACCAAATCATTAACATTTTCTCTGATAAAATTCATGACATTTTTATTACTATTAGGTTTCATTAGTTTGTTTTTATAAGTAGTGGACATGTTTGTTTGAAGAAAAATACGATATGGAATATAAAGAAATTGTTCAAGTTATATGTATGGATGTAAAAACTATCGACAAAAGTTCAAGAATTCCTATTTCTTAGTTCTAGGACACGATTGTCGATACATAAGAAAAATTGATTTATTTTAATTGATTCGAAACAATATCTTCGTGATCGAATCCGGATTCTATAATTACGATGATTGACAGTCGACTATTCTTATTGACATTTTCATTGTTTTCTTTTTGTGTTTATCCTTGGTAAATAGCTATGATGCATATATTGTTTGGTTTTACGACGTTACATGCTTGTATGATATTTGTAGGTGGTAAAGGTAACTAAATAGTAAGGTTGAAAGAGAATCAACAGAACGAGAAAGAGAACGAAACGCGCAAATATTTTTTATATATGCATCAGTAGAAAATAACAAAAATATACCTGTCATTTGTAAAAAAAAAAAAGAGGGGAAAGGTGTATGGTTGGTCATGACGCGAGTATGATACATCAGTATTTTTATTGCAAGCCTTGTGAGCGTATATAGTTAGAAGAACGTAAGTTTCATCAGCATTTATAGTATCATATTACATTCATGATAAAATTTCATATAATGAATACATTGAAAAAAGGGACTTCTGTTTGCTGGCCTTTTCCGCATCCATATCTATAAAAAATCAACAATAGTCAATATTTAATAAAAGCCAATCAGAGAGAAAAAAAAATATATGCGCATTATACAATCCACTTGTTTTTGACGAATTGAAATGTAAAATAATATATTTCATTATAGATGAAAAGTCTCTTTCGGTCTCGTCTACCACCAGAATTAACACCTACACAAATAAATAGCTTAGCTACAGAATCTCATTTACCAGCCGAAGATATTAAAGAATGGTATGAGCGTTTTAATCATTGTTATCCACGTGGTTATCTTTCTTATAAAGAGTTTATAAGTTATTTACAACAACTTTATGCTCAGAATGGAAATGATAATCGTCTTACAAAATCAACAGTCAAACAACTATATAATGTATTAGATTTAAATGAAGACAAACATTTAAATTTCGAAGAATTTTTTCTTTTTAATAGAATAATTAATCAAGGTTCATCAGAAGAGAAACTTAAATTAATATGTCATTTATATGATCGAGATAAAAAGAAATATTTAACACGATTACAACTTGAAAATATCTTAACAAATATGTTTGATTTACTGAATCTTCGGAGATCAAAAAATGGTTTATCACAAAACATTAATGAAATATTAACTCGTGCTAATTTTAGTAATCAAAATACAAAAATAAGTTGGAATACATTTAGTGCATATGTTCTGAATGATCCATCATTATTTGCAGTTTTGGTGTCGGCCGATAATGATGAAAATAAATCTGACGATGACTTTAGCTGTTTAGTAACACGATTTTGATCTTTTCTATTTTATCTAATACTTTTTTCTTATTTACAAAATTTAATCTGCTTATTTTCTATTTTCTATTAATAATTAATTTGTAAACTTCAACTGAACCATACAACCCAGGCTTAAGTAACGAAATATTTTCTTAATAAAGATGTTCGTACTTTAAGTAAAGGAGCATGTCAGACTAGGTGACTTATTCAGAATTGCGAAATCACAAGTTGAAACATGTCGAATGGGGTATATTAAATCTTATTTTCATAAGACTTTGAATGGATTAGAGTCAGTTTACTGACAGACGGCTATGCATCCAAAACATGATCATTATGATTTTTTATATCAGTCGAAAGTGTTTGTAAAACGTGGTCTTATTTACAGTTTTTGTAACAGTGAGTTACTAGAGTTTTTCGCTGATGGTGGGTCACCGTGTTTTCAATAGTATCAACCATAGAAGATGTGACTAGACACCAATCTTTCTTCAAAATTGCTCACAATGCAGTACTACAAAACACACTCTTTGGAAATTTTTCATAACAAATGTATGATGCCCAAAATAGCCTTGCATTGAAAAGTCTTAACCAATTTTTACGTCAATTTTCCACTTTTGATACTAGATTTTTGATATTTTCACTATCAAAAGTCGATTCTGGTACGACTAATAAACATGGTACTCGGAAACAGCATAACAAACTTCATATCTTAACTAAATATTTTTTTCTGTCAAAACGCGACAGGTATTTTTCCTCAGTCATTTTTATCTGAATGTCGTCCTGTGATCGTTCACGGATGAAATTTTCGCGAAAAAAAATATTTAGTTGAAATATGCAGTTTATTATGTTAATTTCGTATATTATGTTTCTTCTGCATTAGAATCGTTTCTTGATAGTCAAAATACAGTATTAAAAGAGAAAAATAAATAAAAAAATAGGTTAGGAGTACTCAATGCAAAGCTATTTTGGGCAACAAACACTTATTTTCAACAGCTTGCAAATAGTGTGTTTTGTAGTACTACATTATGAGCAATTTTGGAGAAAGTTTGATGGATAGTCACATCTTCTATGATCGATACTCTTAAAAACACGGAGACTCACCATTAGTGGCAAGCGGAGGTAACTCATTGCTACAAAACTATCAATAAGATAGTTTTTTTTACAAACATTTACGACTGATACTAAGCCCAAAGTCTGATCTTTCATAAACGACATAATTTCTTTATTTGGCAACTCATTTTTTTTTTGCTAAAAGTTTTGATGATTTCAGTCACGTTCTGTTTGAAAAAAAGGTTTTGTTTAGAAAAAGCTAGAATTCTTTTTCCCTTTTTCTCCGTTCATACATCTCAGAATTAAAGAGCACGACAGTCTGACATATTCTTTCATATAAACAACAATTAAATCTATAGAATAATCGCCTACAGAGAATGTTAGGTTGTCCAATGAGCGATTGTTGGCCCATATTTGTTTAATATTTCCCGAAAATGTCTTGACATAGGGCTGAAAATTTCATGCGATTTGAATGCATATGATTCATGCTCGATTTTTGAGACGTGCTTGATATCAATTAAGATTATCAATGATATAACTTTTTATTTATATAGAGTAATCAAAATTCTTTTGAATTGGTTATGATTATATTTATATTGATGGATTGTGAATTATCATTATTTTATATTCTATACGTTATATGTTAAACAGATAATAATACTAGAGGAAGTAAAATATTAAAAAGTATCAAAACATGCTTTCCATTCTTGTTTTGATCTTCAAAGATTTTTTTAAAAGATAGAAAATTATAAATTTTCTTAATTTGAATCTTTGTTAAATTGTTATATACAGTCAACAAAAGCTAATACTACGAAAGATATTACAAAGCATTAAATGTAAATGTCAATTTGTTAACTATATTTTTGCTTTATCATTATGACTTTTGTTGGTTCGATAAAAGAGAAAACAAGGATGAGTATATTTTGATATTGTCATTCATTCTTTATTCTTTTAATATGTCGACATCGTGTCCTAAGATTCCTACACCTCATGTTGACTCGATAACAGGTGAAAAATATTACACAAGTGAAGATGCTATGAATTTAACGCCTGAATAATATGAAGAATGGATTTATTCCAGTAAGACTGAACATGTTAATGAAGTTCGTTTATATAAAACAAAATTTTGGAATATTTTATTAACGAAATCACCACCATTTTTACCATTATTATTTTGGCCTTTGATTATTTATTATTTAATAATATCATTGACATTCATACGATTTTATTGGATTCTAATTGGTTTTATTCTTTGGTTTCCAATTGAATATTTATTTCATCGTTTTCTATTTCATTTACCAGTTATTGGTTATCATTCACAAAAATTTCATTTTTTTCTACATGGTATTCATCATGTTGCTCCAAATGATTTATGGCATGTATTTTCACCTATTCATGAATTAGGTATTCAAGCACTTATTGTTTGGATTATCTTTAAAATTTTTCAATTACCAGATCCAAATGCTCTAATAAGTGGATTATTAATTAATTATATTCGATATGATTCAATTCATTATCTTATTCATGCTTATAGTCCAGCAAAAATTTCAAAACTACCACTGATAGGAAATTATCTTAGAAAATGTTCTATTCATCATCGTCAACATCATTTTTCAAATCCACGAAAACATTTTACAATTAGTTTTATTTCATCATTCTTAGATTAAAATTATAAGTTATCATTTATTTTTGTTAACTCTTTAATGTTAGACTTATTTTTAGAACAAATAAAATAAAAATCTATTGTTAACTTGGTAGATTGAAAAGATTTGTTTTACTATATTTACGGGCTTCGCCATCAAAGGGTTTTAGTTTCATGACTCTTTGTATGTGAGAGAAGTTTCTATGCATTCTCATATTTAAGACACTCATAGTACAGCATTAATATTTTCATCAACATTGTTTCGAAATTTAGAAAATTAGATTAGTTTGAAGATGAAATACATTTATTTACAAAATATGCTTAGGATATAAAATAAAAACAGTATCTTATTGAATTCATACAGAGGACATCTTTACAACAAAAACAATGATAAACAGTTTAATATTAACTTTTACTTGTACTACAAATAGAACGTCGTTTTTGATTACCAATAGTTGGAAGATACGGTTCCGTGTCATTTAGTATATCAAACGATAGTTTTCTTGCGGATGGTACACTCCTTTTTCTTTTGGGATTTATTGAAAGTGACGTTCGTTTTTTAGTTTATTCTCCATGAATCAGTGTCGTGGTGATCGATGATTAAAAAATGAAGATATATCAAATTAGAATCACTTTGACTTTGGAATATGATTATCGTTTACTCTACTTCAAAAGAGTACTAGATTCATACAACTTCAGAGATCATTCATTTTTAGAATCATGTTTACTCAAATCAATTATTCCTTTCTTTTATCCTGCTTGAAAATATTAGTAAATTTTGAATGATATCACAACTTGTATATATATAGTCGAATTACAACAATATAAAATGGTTTTGTATTTGTGAAAAATAATTTAATTGCCTTAATATACTTTCCTGATAAAATATAATTGACCAGAAAAACGGGAGCGAGATATTATATCTACAATACGAAAATCTAGCGAGTTTCTGGTGATAGATATCAATAATGATCTATGATAAAAGACAAACTAGAAATAAATCGTCGGGGTTAGAATACGTATGATGACATATGTACAGTGCAGATTATGATAGTTAACCATTAGCTACGTCAATTATATGCTGCTACAGCTCTCTATTGTTTGGTTAAGATCAGTTTTTATTCAGTAATAACTATGTCTTGATTTTTGGTAAAATTTCTAAAATGATATATTGGTGGTCTTCTACAAACTCATCAGATTTACTATTTGACTGACTTTATTAGTGATATGATTCTTCATTGGATATATGTATCGAAGTTTTTTCTCTCATAGTAAAAACCATATCTTGATATTGCTTCGCGTTCGTGTATTAGCCAAAAATGAAGATACTTAAAAAAGTGTTCTTTATTCAGGACGCTGGTACCTAAAGGATTAATAGTATAAGTACATAAATTGTGAAAGAAATTCTTTTCTCTCATCAACCAAAAGTGCTATTAACGAGTAGTGAAAGCGAAAAAAAAAACTATGTGCATTCATGTGTATCTTCATGGCCTCTTATTCTTTGATGATTATTGTTTTTTCTTTCTCTCTTACATGACCTTTACTATTTGTCTATTTATCTTAAAAAAGAGATACATAAACTATAATATAAGCATCTAAATAATATGATAATCACTTTGTTCATGTTTTTTTCTTATATTCGTGACAATAATATCAGATTTTTTTTTCCTTTCTGCTTTACTATGAAAAAAAAAAAGAAACAACACGTGAATCGATAAATATCAATCTTATGCTTACCTATTTTGTAAAAAACAGTCAATCACATTGTTTTGATTAATCATTATAATACATGGCTACGTCTTCTTCAGTCACAAAATTTATTGATACCGCTCATATAATTGAATCGAAAGGCACACATCGTTATTCAATTATTTGGCTTCATGGTTTTGGTGATAGTGCAGATGGTTATAAAGATTTATTTACTCAAATACAACCACCAAATACAAGAATTGTATTACCAAATGCACCAAAACGATGGGTGACTGTCGACGGTCGTCGATATCAATTACGAAGTTGGTATGAAGATGATGACACAGCTATAGAAGCAGGTTTACAAGTAATCGAATCTGTAAAAAAATTAATTGATGAAGAACTTAAACTTGTTGATGATGCTTCGCATATAATTATAGGTGGATTTAGGTATTTGTGTATTTCTTGTATTTTTTCATTATAAATAATTCAATTATTTATTTCTAGTCAAGGAGCTTGTTTATCATTATTAGCTGGTTTAACCTATACCAAACAACAATTGGGTGGCGTCATTTGTTGCAGTGGTCAATTAGTGTTAGAAAATAAAATTCCAGAATTATTAAGTGAATATGCAAAGAAAATACCGATTTTAGTTTTACATGGAAAAGATGATCATCGAATTCCTTGGGATGATGCTAAAAGTGGTTTCGAAGTACTAAAAAAGAATGGAATCAACGATAACATGGAAGTTGTACTAGAAGATGGAGTTGGACATACTATTAGTGAACGTGGATTTCATTTAATAGTTATATTTATTATCAAACAGTTGAAATTATAACATAGATTTTTTTTATTACCAATTAATTTATATTCACTTTTTTTAAATTTTATTTAATGCCTTTAAAATAGAAGATTATTGTTCTTGAAAAAAGTTGAAGACATCTTAATAAACATAGATGATTGTATGAGAAAGAGACTTAGTAATGTTGTAGTGTGAGCACCCTATATGCTATCACTCACGTGCACAACGAGAAAAAAATGACATTATGTGTATTGCGTTATGAATTATCATCATGGATTACATAGGAAAAGAAAATGGACTAGTTATGGATATTTAAAAGCAATAGAAATTTGAAATAAAATAAATGTAATGATCTCATCTTATGACTCCTATCGTTCCAAAAATAACTAAGAAGTCAGAAATCAGAAATTCATGGTCCTTAGCTTGCAGGGTAAGAAAACGAAAAGAAAAAGGTGATCATCACTTTTCTGGCCGTTCCAATGCTTTACTCAATGTTTCAAAGTGTAACTTATATTGTACAATCGTTCAAATATTGATCTAAATCAATATCTTCGACATAAGATGTAGCGATAAATGTTTATAATCATGATTTTTTTTGGCAGAGCTATGGTTCCAAAGGGTGATTAAAACATTTTTAACGTATCCTATGTCTGCACTATTTAATTTCACATGTTACGAGCGATCATTTGTTGTGAAAACGACTAAACTTCGTAAACGAGTCTATTCTATGCTTGAACTAAAAAATAATTTAAAAAAAAAGTGATATAGTAAAACATTTTGTACAAGAAGGTTTCGTAAAAAAAAGAAATTTTTATCTACCAATCGAGAACATTCCACGGAATGGTCATCCAATATCTTTTAATAAGAAGAACCTGAAACAGTTGCAAACTGCTGTTGCAAATCATGTTGGTATTAGTCAACGAAAATTAGCTAGAAAATGTGAGGTTGTACAATTCGCTATTTATTATAATTTAAAGAGAATAGATCTTGAACATTAAATGTCGAAAAAATGAGACGTTAAATTACAACATCACGCATACGTACTATTGTTAATGATGAAAAATATTTGACAGTCTCGAATTATAATATGCCAAAAAATATTGGTTTTTATTATCTCAATAAAGAAGATATTTCAGATAACGTGAAATATGGAAACAAAAGAAAAATATCTAAAATAGGTTTTAGTCTGGTTAGCCTTGTCAGCAAAAGGTATATAGAAGATTTTTGGTTTATTCTTGCTGATAGAGTATATGAGGTAGGTTGGAAGACAAAAACGAAATCACAATTTAACAAAAGAGTTTCTCAGAAAATAAAGTAAATTGATATTAAGGTTATTCAACGCATGATGAAAAGCGTACAAACAAAATTAAGAAAAATAGAAGATAAAGAACCATTTTCTAAATTTTGACTATGCATTTTTTCAGATTTACATTCTGTGTATTTTATGTAAAAAATTTATGTAATAAACATTGGTTGAACAGAAGAAACATGAATTTCAATATTGTAAAAAAAACTTTTCAATCACTCTTTATACATTATTCACATGCTTCTGAATTTGTGCTTGAGGGTATAGGTGCGTGAGTGTTTTCTTCTCATCCACATTCACGCCCTCATCATAATGAGCAGATATTTGAGAACTAAAAAGATCAATTTTGATGAACTTTGAACATGTTAAAGTGTCTTTTTTTTGGTTTTTTATCGAATTTTTAACAATTAAATTCTTTTCATTTTTCTTATCTTTAAATAAAATTTTTTCACGCTCCTTTATCTCTTCATTCTTTAACGTCATTTCAAATTCTTTTCACTTCACATCCATCACTCTTTCTCCTGTATATCCGTATACAATGCATTTTCTGCATGCTTTGCTTTTCATTTCAATTCCAGCTTGCAATTTTGAGATATTTTTCGTCTACGACTTAATGAATCGCTTCTTCTTCCGTACGGTTAGTAAGAACCTAACTTAATCAATAGATAGATAGATAGATAGATATCATTAGGCCTTCTGAATTCGTAGAAATTCTTTATCCAAAATTAAACAAGTGAGATCTATATAAAATCGATCAACTATTTTAGTTATTTGATCTTTATTTGTACTATTAACAAAAGAGAGTAAATGCCATCCGTTTATGCTATCAAAAATTAGTAGAAATCGACTAATGATAATGGATAATCAATAGTCAGTTCTATGCACGATATAGATTAATTTTAAACAAAACGTAGAAATAAATTGAAGCCTTTAAATTAAGATATCTGTCTAAGGAAAAAGCAAAAATTCTATATTTCAGATTTCTTGAGAAATTGTTACGATGACTTCTTAGCTGACTCATACTAAGAAATCTGACGTATAAAATCGTTACTTTTTCTTTACAGAGATCGCTGAAATAAAAAACTCGATCATATAAAAACACGTCTCAACTGTTGTAAGAGTTCCAAATCGTAAAAAATGCACATTTTAACGCTTGAAAATATCTGACGATAATAACACCATAACGTTAGTTTCAATACATTTTTTGTTGTTGTTATTGTCTATCTGG